CTTCACGTTCATGTACTATAGGGCCAAGTCAGGTAAGGGCCCTCTCAGCAATCCTTCCTCTTTCATCCCTTTCCATTTGAAGCTAGAGTCCTTTAACTTTTATCCCCCTTGGAACCATCCCCTTATTGCTACACTGCACCAATCTCTTCCCAACCTCTGGTCACGAACACCTAGGCTCCTGGGTCTCCTTCTCCCTGCCCCATCACTGCTCTCACTCTCATTTTCTGCAACTTGAACACCCTGTGGATGAACCAGGGAACATCCTCTTCTCTCCATTCCTTGACCCACTTACCTCTGACAGAGTAATCTCAGCACCCACTCCCAAGAGCATATTGGGAAACTTCTCTCTACCAGAAATTCCTCTCCTCTAAAAGAGCTAATTAAGTTAAATTAGTGTGGATCCTAATCCAACATGACTGGCATCCTTATAAGAAGAGGAGGTGAGGACACAGATCCACAAAGTGGGTGACCATGTGAAGACACAGGCTGAAGACATCAGCAAGAAGAGAGAGGCCGTAGGAGAAATAGCCCTGCAGACACCTCGGTAGTGGACTTCTGGCCTCCTGAACTGTGAAACAATCCATTTCTTTCGTTTAACCACAGTTTGTGGCACTTTGCCACGGCAGCCTGAACATACCACAACAGCAACTTAATTCAGATTCCGGCATCATAACCAATCCTTGCCATACCTGTCTCCTACTCACCAACTCTGCTGAATCCAGGAACCCACCTTCTCCTTTCTTGAGTATGAGAAGTTAAACCGTTTGTGTGTGTGCATGTGTGTATATGCGCGTGCGTGCGTGCGTGCCATGTCAGACCTCTGAGCATTTAGAACCGTATCCTAATCTCTCCTGTGTATTTTGTGTGTGCGTGCGTGAGTGCGTGTGTGTGTCTGTGTGTGTGTGTATGCGTGTGTGTGTGTCTGTGTGTGTGTATGTGTGTATGTGTGTGTATGCGTGTGTCTGTGTGTATGTGTGTGTATATGTATGTGTATGCGTGTGTGTATGCATGTGTGTATGTGTGTGTCTGTGTGTGTATGTGTGTGTATGCGTGTGTGCGTGTGTGTGTGTGTGTGTGTGTGTGTGTGTGTGTATAGGCAAGTCCTGTAATAATCTACCTACCTTCCACTGAAATCGACAAACCTCTAAACGCTCCTATGTGGGCCCAACGCAGTCATAAGTCTCACTAGTGCCCCAAGTAAGTTCTTTCCCATTTCCCAAGAGTCTATCTTACACATTTCTCTCTGTCTTCAGAATCCTATCTTCACTTCTCCTAGGTCATGCCGTCATTCTGCAGATCCCAAACTAAGAGCCGCTCCTGGAAGTCCCCTCATACTCCACCATCTGTAGCCCCAACAAAGGCCTCTTACTCTCCGCTTCCATCTGCTTTCACTTTTGCAAGCACTCCCACCCTTTACCTCCTCCCTTCTCACCACTCTTTGCTCCTCCCTTCCTTGCTTGCCTGCCCACAACCATGCACTTACCTCTCTTACTGTTAACACTTCTCTGGACCCACATTCTCTTCCAGAAATGCCCCATTGTTTCCCGCTCATTTTTATGCTCCTGTTAATTCCCAAATGTCTGTACGGTCATCCACACTTGCTGGGTCTAGTCACTGACCACCTCATTAGCAATTCCCTTCTGCTGTTGGGCTATTTCTACCCACCCACAACCACTGGTAATCTCTACTCCTCGTTATCAAGCTTGCAGACATCAAGGTTTAAAAGCTTAGCATCTCCTCTCTGAGCTATTCTTTCTTAAGCTCTCGGCTGCGTTCCATGTGGCTAGACATCTGAACCCCACTTTTCAATCTGTGACAGCCCCTGGTCTTCCTGTACTTGCTGAGTTGTTTTTCACTTCCTTTTCAACTTTCTCCACTTGATCCCAAAGGCCCTGTTTCCGGTTTCTGGATGATCTCATGCAGATCTACAACTAAATATCACTTAGGTTCTGATGACTCAAATTTATATCTTTTTGACCTCACCCTGGAGTTCCAGACATAGATCTAATGTTGCATCTCCACCTAGATGACTCAGGATGCCTCAAATCAAGTGCATTTGGACAGGATCCCTCTATTTTCAATCTAATCCCCATCTCAGTAAATAGTACTGAGCCATTCAGTAGCTCAAACAATGAACCCAGGGAGCTCCCTTGCTTCCCTTTTCCTTCCTGATGATGCTTCCGCTTTAAAATCTATCTAGACTCCTCTGAATATTTCCATCTTCTCCCTCAACCCTCACCCAGGTGCCATCACCATTCACTTTTGAAACATAAATACTGTCTGAAATGGCCTCCCTGTTTCCCTCTGTGGGTAACTCCAGGGAAGAGGGCACCACTCTTCAAGGAATTGGTTTCCTGCTGTGCAGAGGACACTGTCAGTGATGCTAACTAGATTAATTGATTTGCCCAAGGGGAGGTGTGTGTGTTCCCTTTCTGCAGAACTTCCTTCAGAAACAGCACTTCCATTCAGAAAGCCAGACCAAGTGCCATTAACAAATTAATTCTTATTAGTGCAGCCCAAGCACTCAGACCTTAAGGCAACCCTATTCGGTCTTGGGCCTGGCCTGCTAATAAAGTGGAACCGTCTGGGAAGCAGAGGTGATTATTTTGATGCCTGTCTCTATCCCTGGAGGGAAAGGGTAGGATGTGATTTCACTACAGTCTCCTGAGGGAATTAACTACTTTCAAATGGTGTTATTAATTCTCCAACATGGTAGTCATGTCTGTGAGAACAAATTTGATTCACACATCTCTGTACCTTTTACAGTCCTTGTTTAGGACCAAGGATTCAGGAGGTGTTCAACAGTTGGATGAAAGAATAATTAATTGATAAGTGGTAAATAATTCTGGGATTAATATCCATTGCTTTATTTAACAAGTGTAATTGCATGGCTACTGTGGATGGTACAGCAGATTTGGAAGTTAAACCAAACAGGCCCCTGTCCTCACAGACCCTATAGACTGTGGGAGGGAGGCAGAGAACTGACCAGATAAGTCAGAGCCTCCTTCAGAGAGCTAGCAAGTCATTCAAGATAAATAAATGGGTCAAGGGGCTGGAGAGATGGCTCAGCAGTTAAGAACACTAACTACTCTTACAGAGGTCCTGAGTTTTGTTCCCAATATCCACATAGGGTAGCTCACAACTGCCTGTAACTCTAGCTCCAGGGGATCCAATGTTCTCTTCTGGCCTCTATAGGCACCTAGGTGTTCATGTCACACACACATACACATGGTTAAAAACAAAATAAATCTTTTATAAAAAGAAAAGAAAATAGGTCACGGTGAGAGTGTCCTAAGAGGAGGGAAGGAAGGGAGGGCCTGAGGCCCGGATATCAGAGCTCAGCTCTGCATGGTACAAGGGGCCAACCAGTGTTGGAGGAAGAACCTTCTAGAAAGAGAGACTGGAAAATGCAGGCACTTATCATTTGGGAACTAAGCCCCAGTACATCTGATTAGCATAGCCATCTTTGAACTCCAACTGCTCTCCTTGTGGTCCCTAGAACAGGGAAACATGTCTCTCTAATGTGGTTAACTTCGTCCACACTGGTCTATCTGCCTGGACAGCATCCTCCATCCTGCCTGCCACCCTCACTCATAGCACAGGGCTTTGCTCCATACCCATGTTTCCCAACTAAGCCTTTCAAATCCCATTTGGAAGAGTTCCTTCCCTTCTCTTAAGTCTTAGGGCACTCACATGACATTTGCTGTTCCTATTGCTTTGTATGGGTAGATATGTCATTCTTGTGACATGGGTAGATATTTCATTCTTGTGACATGGATAGATATGTCATTCTTGTGTGCTTGGATGTCCTCTTTACCTTCTCTTGTCCTGTTCCTGTCATTGGACTGCATGGAGGCAAAGGCCTTGTCAAATCTGTCTCTTTTACCCCAGGCCTAGCTCAGGGTCCTGAGTTAAACATACACAGACTCTGAATGTATTACCTGGCCCTTTGCCATTCCTAGCAGTCGATGAAGAGGACTTGAAGTCTGGCTTCTCATTCCAGGATGTCTAACACAAGCAAGAAAGGAAGCCAGCCTTGAAGGCTGGCTTTGGTTTGAAAAGCAGTTTCTTAGAAGATGATTAAAATCTTTAGGACTGGGGATGGGGAGACAGCTTAGTTGGTAAAGTGCTTATCCTTCAAGCACAAGGACCTGAGTTTGATTCCCAGTTCCCATGTAAAAACAAAACAATGCTACAATTGGGCATGATATATGTAGTTATAATCTCAGCATGAGGAGAGGTAGAGCCAGGTAGATCCCTGGAGCTCAATGGCTAGTTAGCTTAGCTTATTGATGAATTCCAGGCCTGTGAAAGACTTTGTCTCAAAACAAGAAATGGATAGCAGCTGAAGAATGACACTTGAGGTTGTCCTCTGGCCTCTACATGCATATATGCACATATATGTATACCCCCACATGAACATGCTCATACTCACACCTGCATGCATGTACACACACACACACACACACACACACACACACACATACCTTTTAAGATGATAATTGGCTTTCTTACAGAATGCTTAGAAGCTTTATAAGAACAGCCTGAGGGATGTTCTATGGGTCAGCTTGAAGATGAAAAGTCCCAGGGCCAAGAAACCAAGTGAAAGAGGAAGCCAGCTATGCTTGGAAAGATGGGCTCTACACCACAACCCCATGTGCTTGAGTTCCTAAATGAACATCAATCAGCACATCCCACCAGTAAAACACAGCTGCAATATGTCACAGCCTTTCTCCTACTCAAAACCTCATACCCCTAGTCTTCCCAGATGACCCACAATTCCAGTGGTCACCCAAAAAGCTGGCATGACATCACACAGAATAACAGGTGCCTTCTGTTTCAAGCTCCCCCTCTACCCACACTGTTCCATCTTGAGTTGAAGGGAGCTCGGAGCTCCCTATGCTAAGGCTGATGAGGATGAGGCCATGTCCCAGCCCTGGAGGAGGAAAAGCCAAGGGGCATGAGAATGAGATGGAGACACGCTGGGCACTGCAGCTAACCTTTTAGGAGGACCGTCCTGGCCTTGGCCCACTCACTCCTCCCGTCTGATGTCAGCAGGCCGATTGGAGGCAAGCGTTCATCCTCGTTGGACGCCATTTTGATTATCTTTCTCAACTGAGTGAACAGATCACCCTCACTGAGATGACGGAAATTAACGACAACATCCAAGACAAAGAACTGTGGGGGGAAACAGGTCAAACACATCACTCGTGGCAGCTAGCTCAAAGCTCCAAGTCTTCACTAAGCCCTCACAGAGGAGCTCAGGATGGAGGATGCTCAGGCCCAAAGTTCCCAGGGTGTTTGGTGGGTCTGAGTCATTCCATTTTGGAGAACATCCAATGCTGTTGACTGCACTTGACTTCAAGCTCCCCCCTAGCAAAGGTCAAATTAAACCTGACTAAGAGAAACCTTGCTTTTGTGGTTCTTAGTGTATGCAAAATCATTGTTTGCAGGGAATCAAGTATAAACTGGTACATAAACCTGTTGGAGGGTAGTGTCAATCAAAACTAAAAAGTGCTTATCTATGACTCAGCAACTGTACTTATACATGCATAGTTTAGCTTAGGGCTTAGAGAAACACACCCATGTACACTGGAAGTCACACAAAAGAGTGGATGCACATCAGGCTTTCTGTATTAGCTGAACAGTAGAAAGAGCCTGGCTGTTCTTTTGGAGTGGTGAACTGTAGTGTATTCATCCAGCGTACCGGAATTGACAGCTCCAAATAGAGCTATAGTGATAGACCTCGAAAAAGGCAAGCCAACAGGTAAGTTGTAGAGGAAGATTAAAATGGAAAACCAATACACAAAAACGTTATGCATTTCTACACACACACACACACACACACACACACACACACACACGCACGCATTTGTGTGTGTGTGTGTGTGTGTGTGTATGTATGTATGTATGTATGAGCTTGGCATATGAGCCTTGTGGTACTACAATTTTATAACTTTGAAAGCCAGAATCTTTCACAATTTTTGTCCAATTATCTTTCTTGACACAGGCTGTCACATCCTTTGCAGAGGATTGATGTGTCTGCCCCCACCACCCTCAGCAAGATCTGTGAGGTTTGGCCTATGATTGTTTCCAGAAGGATTGGATACTCTGCTAACTAGAGGCTGAGAAATGCTTGACTTGACTTTGAATGAAGATGAGGAAAGGTTTTCATTTTGTGGCTGGCTGGCCAGGGTGTCAGATGGGCTGGGAAGCCTCCTGATGGCTTTTAAGCCTAGGAACAGTGGCCACAGCTACCCTTGCTGAGCTCTCAATTTTCTGAAATGAGCCTAAGAAGAAAACATTAGTGAACAAGTCCAGAGGATGGGGGAAGCTTGGATGATTGTCAAACTTAGGTTTTAGGTACAAAAAGACAGCAAGATCCCCATGCTCAAGCCACTTTTTGTCACATAAAATATTCTTTGTGATGTATAAACAGACAGAATATATAGTGTGGTTGGCACTGGGAAGGGGTCAGGAGTCTTCATCCTCACCCTGTTCCCCTGCATGGGAACTTTACAGGCTCTGTCCAACTTTATCTGAAAACCTGAGCTTCAGGGTACAGAGCTTGGCCTTGGGCCATTCTTCTGCCTCTTAAAAACCATTTAACTTCCCTAAACCTCACTTTCTCACCTGTCAAATGAAGACTCAGAGGCCCTGTCTATAGGGTTATGAATGAATGTAAGTTCTAGGCCCACAGCCTTACACATGGGAGGTCTTGTCTGTTAGTCTTAATCTGTACATCTGGTCTTCATGAAAGTCACGAACTATGTGGAAATGAATAGATACGCAGGTGGAGGGGTCAAGGCCATACTGGACCTCATTTATGACCCCCAGTCCATTAGTCTGTCTTCAGCTTGTCTTGGGACTGAGATAAGAGCTCAGGGGGTGCATTCTCTTACTGAATATTCTCATTCTTAAAAAAACAACTGGTAGAGAGAAATGGACTGAGTAAGAGGCCCTCTTGTGGGACTACTGCACCCTAGCTCACTGTACAGTTCAGGGAACTGGTCTGAGGACCTGTGAAGGAGCAGGAATGCATGGGCATACCTAACCACTATATGCCCTACACCCCCCCCCAAATCTGAGAGTCTGCAGAGGTGACAGTGGACCACTTACCTGGTTGCAGCAGGCTACAATGACATGCTCAGGCTCGGGCATAATGCTGCTCTTCTGGGCCACCAGTGTATCCTGGGTGTGGCCAGGGAGCCGGTAGGAGGAGAAGAGCCTGTAGTACTGCTTCATACAGAGGGGATGCCCTGAGAGCTGGCCTCTGGCCCAGTCAGTGGGGATGGAGTGGCTGGAGGAAGAGAGCAGAAGAGGGGCAGGCAGGCATGAGAGGATGGAGGAGAGAGCGGAATGGAATTGGTTCTGTGGTAAACTCAGTCTTTCTTTTTTGAGGTACCTTGGATCAAACCTAGGGCCATGTGTATATTAGGCAAATACCCTACCATTGGGCCATACCCTCACTCTCTATTGTATTGATTAGTCTCAGAATTATACTATGGCAGAGCTTTTCATTTTTTAGAGTAGTGGAATGTTCCATTTCCATGGCCCATGGAGTGACAAAATTTTCTGAATCTCCATGACTCTACCCTACCCCAGTTACAGGCAATGAGTATATAATTTTTGCCTCTTAGCCCTCTGTGCCTTTGCTTATGCCAATGGCTTCTTGGCACACCTTCCTCTCCACTCCTGCCTTTACTCCATTGTCCTTTTTAGAAAAATTCTTCTCCAAGAGCCTACTTTTCATCATCTCTTCTAGAAACCTCCTTCAAGTTCAAAGCAGAAAACTCTTTTTGTCATGTGGTCTCTGCATGAGGTGTTTATCATTCCATCCAACCATCTACCCACCATGTATGCAAGTCATCCATCTTCCCTTCCACTCATTTATCCATCATGACTCTATCCATTGGTCCTTCTATCCATATATACATCCATCTATCATCCATGCACCACTGTCATACATCCTCTCATTCATCCATCCCTCCCTTACACATTTATACATATACTATGCATCCATCCACACATCCACCATCCATCCACCAGCATCATACATCCGTACATCTATCCATTCATCAGTCATACATCTATCCATCTACTCATCCATTTATTCACCACTACCACTGTCTGCATTAACCCTTCTATCTGTCCATTCACTATATAGCCATCTATCCAGCATGCATTTATGCATCCATCTACTATCCATCCATCCATCCATCTGTCTACCTCTTATCCATCCATTTATTCATCTGTTGCTGTTTGAATGAGAAATGTCCTCCATAGGCTCATGGATTTGAGCACTTGGTCCCCAGTTGGTGGCACTGTTTGAGGAGGTTATGGAAACTTTAGGGGGTATAGCCTTGCTAGAGGAAGTACATCTCCAGGGAAGGGCTTTGAGGATTTATAGCCCCTGCTCACTTCCTGCTGTTTCTTTCTCTGCTTCCTGTGTGTAGCTGAAATGTGATCAGCCAGCCTCTTGCTCTAGCTGCCTTCTTCCATGCCTTCCTTGTCATTATGGACTCCTACTCCAGACCAAAATAATCTCTTCCTTTTATAAGTTATCTTTGGTCATGGCATTTTATCACAACAGAAAAGTAACTAATACACCATCTATCCATCCATCCCTCTACCATGCATGCATCCATCCAGCCACCCACCATTTATCTACCATACATGTAACCATCCACCACCTATCCATCAATTCATTCATCCATCTACCATGCATATGTGTACACATGCAATTACCCATCCACTCATCTCCCATTTATGCATCCATCATGTATTTTACCCAACAACTAACTATCCATCCTTTTACCACACATCCAACCATCTACTATGCATTCATCTACCCACCATCCACCCACCCATTTACCTATCCTCCATCATCTTTTCATAAATTTATTCTTTTATTCTTTCAGCCACCAAAGTTTGCTGAGCACTTTTGTGCCAGGTACCATTCTGAGGTCTGGGGACTACGGTAGTAATTAGACATGATTTTTCTACTCTGGGTCCTGGAATCTGTTGCTGGGGAGTAGAGCACAGACAGCAAATTGGGAGACAGGAGGATTTCAGGAGGTGAGGGCAGGAGGCCAGGGCTAAGAGGAAATCTCATTGAGGCTTTCTTGACTGAGCTGAGCCCAAAGGGTAAGAGGCTGCCATAAAGATGGACTGGCTGGAGTGCCCCATGGCACTGTTCCCCAAAGTGAGGATACTGCACTGAAATTTCATGACTGCCTCATGAGAAGATGAGTGCCAGAATCCAGAACCCTCTGTGGCATCATGGTGGGAATTTTATATCAACTGAATTCAATAATAAAGTATGCAGTCTCATATTTTAAGCCTTTGTAAACTTTTTCTAGTAATTAATTTTTTGCTGTGTCTTCATGTTTATAAAAAGCATACACAAAATTTGAAAATAAAGGTTCTTCAACAGATGTAGTTTGAGACACATCAATGGATCAGTGGAAAAGAAACCCGCAGGATTGAAAATACGTGAAGAGTGAAGAAAAGGCTAGGGAAGTATGCAAGGTCAGGACCCGAGGCTCCAGAGGCAGGGTGGGAGCTGGCAGCTTATTCTTGATGCATTAAAAGCCCCAGGGAAGGTTTGACCTGCAGAGACATGATTTGGATTATGTTCTCTTTTGTCTTTTTGGAGCTGGGTGTTGAACTCAGAGCCTCACCCATGCTAAGCATGCACATGATCACTAAGACACAACACTCCCAGCTCAGTTTTTGTTTCTGTTTTTTTTCTTCAGAACTGAAGACCAAACCCAGGGCCTCACCCATAGTAGGCAAGTGCTTTACCTCTAAGCTATATTCCCAGCATATCCTGTCCTGTTTTGCCTTTTTAATGGCCCCGATTATATAAGGAGAGGACCAAAGTAGGAAGGATGAGGAAGAAGGCTATAACCAAGACTGAAATGGTTATGTAGGCCAAGTAGGGTGATGGCTTAGGGGCAAGCTGAGGGCAAGCAGTGACCACATCTGAGTACCATGGATGACATGGAGGGAGAAAGAGGGACCAGAGGCAACTCCTGGTTCCTGGACCTACCAACCAGCGATGCACTAGTATCTGTACTGAGAAGGCAGGATGGGTGAGGGGTGGGAGCACGTGGAGTTACATACAAAATTCTACTAGACCACTTTGCAGTGACAAGGAGAAATCTCCAGTGAAGATGTTTGGAGCTCAAATGAAATCAAGTTTTATTTTGTGTCTGTCTTATTCGGTAACTGAGAACTTTTGGGGATCAGGTAAAAAGCTGCTAATTTCTCTTCATCTTCCCAGCATCAATACACTGAAAGTGAATGAATGAATGAGTGAAGGAATGAGGTGCCCCAAACAGACACTCTCTCGATTGTTCCAACCTTATAACATTTGCAAGTATAAGACACAGGCACCTTTATATGACTATGCATGGATATGTATGGTTGTGAGCACATGTAATGTACTCACACACACCTATCTGCATACCCACGTGAGAGTTGAGGGTAAAGCCTGCCAGTAATAGATCACTCCAGAGTCCCTGGGCCCTGTGGCTAGGGTCAGTACCCTCCCTCCTCTTTGCTGCAGTCAGGGTGTTGGGAGGGAAAGGCTCTGTGAAGACAGACATTGTATGAATGAAGGAGTGATTTCCAGATCAAGTTCAATCTGAGGAAGGGAGCAAGCTCTGGAAATACAGCAGGAATGGGCAGCTCACAGGCCTGGTAGCCCAACTCAGAAAGAGAGTAATGATCATGGTATTGTGTGGAGGAATGTGTGGTCCAGACAAGCAGCGAATAACCTGATATGCCCACCTGGGGAGACAATCACCCCACATGGCACCACTGACACTACCCTAACACTGCTTCCTTCTCTGCCCTTTATGGTAGAGTAGACTCCAATCATCTAATTCATACAATGGGTGATAAAAGGAGGTCTGGAGGTGGGGTGGGGGGTGTTTCAAAGGTCAGGGAAGGGTAGTGCTTACTGAAGGAAAAGGAATGCTTAATGGCTTAAGTCAGCTGGACTAAAAACCATCTTGATATTGGCAGTGGGCAGGAGACCACATATCTAGAAAACAGATCAGGTCTCTGCCCTTGGGACTAGAGAGATGGCTCAGCAGTTAAGGGCACTGACTGCTCCTGCAGAGAACTCAAGTTCGATTTCCAGCACCCACATGGCAGCTAACAACTGTCTGTAACTCCAGTTCCAGAGTATCTGTCACACTCTCCTGACCGCCACGAACACCGTACGACACAAGTGCACTTACATACATGCAAGCAATATACTCATATACATAAAATAAAAATAATTCATAAAATATTTTTTTAAAAAGAAAAAGACCAGGTCACTGCCCTCTAGAGCTCCCTGGGTAGCATAGCAGGGAGACAAATATGAGAGCAGATAGCCTAGCAGGGCCCTACCCCTCCCAGACTGGGCCCATACTTACCTGTCTAGCAGGGCTTTGTAGCTGAGCACACCAGAAATGAGGCTGGCTGCAAACCTACGGGGACATGGAGAGACAGGAGTTTCAGGGGTCCTCATGGGCCAGCTCCCCTCATCGTTCCTGCCACCCTCCTTTTTTTCTTAATTTCCTCCTCCCTTTCTCCTTCCGTGTTCTTCCCTCCCCTTCCCTTGCTCTAAACTCACCCATCTATCGCCTGCCATATGCCAGGTCGTGTGTGCACTAATGGGATGTGGTTCTTGCTGCCCCTCCCCCAGTGCTGTCAACCCACCACAGTCTTGGATTAAAAATGGTCCTGTGGTGAGAACTGGGGATAGCTCAGCTTTGGGGAGGTGGGTGGGGAGGGAGGAGCCAGAATCATCTTGAGGAGGAAGAGGAGCCAGAAGGAGAGGCAGAGTGAGTGCCAGGAAACGGAAGGTGTGGGGTAGTGTTCTCCCTGGGCAAGGCCAGTCCTGCGGCTGGACTAGTCAGGCTTGAACATCTGGAGTTCTGAGAAAATCCAGTTTCCTGGGGCAAGTCTGGAGGAATGGTACCCCCCCCCAAGTGCTAATGAAAAGGAAAGTAACTATTGGTGGGGGTGGGGAGGCTTCAGAGACCAGAGCCAGGGTACTGAGCCATCTTCACAGTCCACGGATGATGAGGCCTGGCTTAATTGCATAGGGGGGAAATGCCCCTTGGATGCAATTTGGAGAGCCGTTTTCAGAATTCATCAATCCTCATGCTCCTTTCTAGGAGGGAGGGAGACCTGCAGGTAGGGACTGGACTTGGGCTACAATTCTTAGCATAGCTGAGCTCTGCTGGAGGTTGAGGGCTCTGATCCTTTTTTTCGAGCCATGTAGGTAGGCCTTCCATCTCCTTTGAATCCTGTCCATGTTCAGCCCATTCAGGCCTTGAGAGGAGGAAATTCTGACAGACTCTAATCTTTCCTCCCTGCCCCTACCCACCATTACGACCATTCTCAGTGGAGCCAGAGGCCCTTCCAGCAGCTCAGTGAGCTCTGAAATTGCAGCAGATGGCAGTGGCGCTGGCAGGGAGGGACTTTCCCTCCCACTTTGGAGGCTGTTTAGAGCAGAGCTCTGGAGGGCACAGAGGCACTCTCAGGCACATGGAGCAGCATGTCCCAGCCATGACTACTGCTAGGTGGCAGAATACATGACAGCTCAGACCCCCTGTAGGGGTCCCCTGAGCTCATGACCCCTATTAGCGCCCACATCAAATAAATGTATCTTGGGGAAGAACATGTGTTTATTGCAGAGTAATACCTCCCTCCAGGCCTGATGGCCTCAGGAGATGCTGTCTTGTGGTGCTTGGCCCCAGTAAGTTCAGCCAACGCATAATCTTTGGCCTCTCCTTCTGGCACTGAGACCAGGTCCTACACCCCAGGCAGGCTCCCCAGTCACACATGTATAGCCTTACCTGAGCTGGTCATTAGTGTCTTGAAAGTGCTGCCTAGCAAAGATCACAGCAGGGCTGGAGTTGACGGGCAGGGCCAGGCGGTTATTGAGATACATGTCATTCAACCAGTACTCAGACACCTGCCAGGGAGCACAGGGAAGGGTGCCATTACCCTGACTCTGTACACACACTTCCTAAACAGCATTTTTCCAGCACAGGTCATCAGTTCTATCCTGCCCACCATGAAAGAAGGTCAGGCTCCCTCACTGGATCGGTCATTCTTCATTCATTCTACACATACACACAGAGCCCTAGCTTCTGGGCCCACATGCTTCCCAGTCCTCCAGGCCTGTCCTCCATCTTTACCGCATATTTCTCCTTTCTTTCTTTCTTTCTTTCTTTCTTTCTTTCTTTCTTTCTTTCTTTCTTTCTTTCTTTCTTTCTTTCTTTCTTTCTTTCTCTCTCTCTCTTTCTTTATTCTTTTCCTCCCTCCCTCCCTCTCTTCCTCCCTCCTTCCTCCCCCTCTTTCTTTCTCCTTTTTTCCTTTCTTTCTCGTCCCTGCCCATTGCCAGTCCTTATGTGTGCTTCAGCCCTGCCTGTCTCCCCGCTCTGCCTTCTAATTTCCTTTCTATCCCCAAAGTCCCCTGTCCCTGTCACCAACTCTGTACCCCGTCTCCCCAATTCTTTAACTTCACCTTCCCCATCCCTCTGTCATCCTCTTTTCCTCAGTCCCACCTCATCTTGCCTGCCCCTCTCCTTTACTCCCTTGTCAACCAACGCATGCCTGTTCATCCCATCTGTCTCCATCTCTGTCTCTTTGTCTATGTCACCTAACACCCTCACCTCCATCTTTCCATCTCTCCACATCTACCTCCTGCACTTCTGCAGGGGTCCCTCGTCAACTCCTACACAACAATGCTTACCCAGTTGGCTGTCTTTTCCTGCCGCTCCAGGAGTTTCTGTTGTAGGGCCTCACCAAGGCCTCCAGGGGCCCCAAATCGCCTCACGATGGCCTGGCTCTTCCTGAACTGCTCCTCGGGCACCAGGTGCCTCATGCACTGTAGGTAGGTGGCCAGTGTTTGCTGTAGTGGGGGCACTGGCAATTTGGGCAAGCCCTGGAAAAGAAGGTTCAAAGCATTCACTGCCTATCCTTAATATGACTCATATCTGTCCCTGAGTTGATGCAGGATGTGTCTCATTTTGTCCCAACCTTGTTCCCCATCCTGGAGCCTGGCTGTTTACAGGGCTTAGCTCATCAGAATTGTAAATTCAGGGCCTTCTTGCTTGCTGTTGCTGTACCTTACTACTTGGGTCTCAGAAGGATACAAAGTGCAGAGGACAGACCTGAGCTCACATCCTGATCCTGGTGTTGGCAGCAGACAGACCTGGGCTCACACCTTGACCCTGGTGTTAGCATCAGATAGACATGGGTTTCTACCCTGATTCTGTTGCTGATCAGCTACATGACCTTGGGAAAGTGTCTTTGTCTGTTGGGGCCCAGTTCTTATGAGAATGGTCCTTTCACAGGATGGAAGAGATAACAGATGTGAACATGCTTACAGTCCATAAAGGATGAACCTGAGAAGAAAGATTATTGGTGAATTTTGTTATCTGCTGGTCACTCTTCAGGTAGGCATTCTTTCCAACTAGGGCTCCAGAACTTACGTGCTTTCTAGACTAGAAATGCTACTTTTACAGGGAGAATTGAATGGGTCAAAGACGGCTTTGCCTGGAGACCCTGCCCTACAGACCAGCTTTCTACAAATGTTTCCTGGTACAGTGGCCCTTTCTGCCTTTCCAGGTATGAAACTTTGACAGGGAATTGGTTCCATGTCTGTCCAGGTCTCGCCAGGCCTCTTAGGACATAAATAACAATTCCACTTACCTGAGAGGGACCCAGAGAAAATTAAAGAGAAAAACAACTGCCCCCCCCCAATAATCATGGCATAAAATGTTATAGTTAACTCGTATTATTCCTCCAAAGGAAATCCTAAGAGTAAGCCTGTGGTCTCTGGGCCCCAAATGTAGTGAGAGGCCAGAAGAAACCCACACTGGCATCCTCCCACATGGGCACTGCACTTCCCAAACAGCCATGGTCACCCAGGGTCTTGTATGTGACTTCAATTTGTCACATAGCTACGGCAGAGTATTTTGTCCCATTTACAGATGAGACTGAGACCCACAGTGTGAAGAGACTAGTCCCAGGTCGAACAGCAATTTTCATCCAACGTCCCCTCTCCCTCCCTCCCTCCCTCCCTCCCTTTCCTCCTCCCTCCCTTCTTCTTTCCTTCTAAACCCAGGGCCTTTCACCCCAACCAAGCTATACCCCAGTTTATTTCTTGTCTTTCTCCTCAGCCTTCCCTCTCCTCTCCTTTACAACCTTTCCTCCCTTCCTTCTAGTCTCCTTCTTTCAGCCTGTGACAATAGGAAAACAAGATTTTTAATGCTTTTGTTAAAACTCTATGCAGCTGGCACACAGTGGGATGCCATCCTTCAGTGATTTCTTCTCTGTGAGGTGGTGAGTTGAGTCTCTACAGGATTCCCAAGGGCTCACCCTGCCCTAGTGGGCTGCTGAAAGCACTTGTCGGCTGCAGCTGGGTACTGGGCCATGACGGAACAAAATAAGTGCTGATGGATGAATGAGTTCACACCTGTCTGATCTTGTCTCTAGAGCTTACTACTCTGGCTGAAGGTGGAGTGTCAGCACCAACTTCTGGTGCTCCTGTCCTGGGGAACAATACAGATGCAAGGACAGGTCTGGGCAGCATCACAGGTTCCTCAATCCACTTCCAGCAAGCCAGGTTGACCGCTCCCCCCCCAGTCACTCTGGTTCTGCCTCTTCTGTTTATGGGGGTCTGTGTGGACGAGGTAGGCAAAGATCTACAGAAAACCCAGCCCCGCTGGTGGTCTGGCCAAGAGCAGTGGCAGATCTGCCAGAGATGGCCACCCTTCATCTGGGCTTCTATCATATGCTGTGGTTCAGTCTGGGTGACAGGGAAGCAGCGATGGGGTAAAATGAACAATCTCAATTTAGACATCGGAGCCCCAGGAATGGTTCTTCCTCAGACTTTTCTGTACCTCTGGCCTTGTGCCAAGGGACTCAGAATTTCAGAGTCCTTGCATATTTTCTAGACGGCTCCTGTGAGCCAGGGCCTGGGCTGGTCTCAGAGACAATGAAGAGATAGTCTGTTCTCCAGGAAAACCAAGGCAAGGGAAAGAAAGGGCATGCCATGTACTGGAGACAGCAGTAGAGGTGTGGACCAGATATAGAGGCAATGTAGTGAGCAAATTCAAGGCAGAAACCAGAAAGTTCTGATTGGGCCAAAGGGAGGGGGAAGAGCAGTGTGGAAGAGAAACCAGCTGTTGTAGCAACTTGAAATCAGATGTGTTGCTGAATCCCTGGAAGGTTGCTCAGAATGGGAGGGAGGCTGTCTGCCCAGGGAGGCTGCCCAGGGAGGGTGGCATTGTTTCAAACCAGTGGAAAAAATGATGCTTAATGTTCCAAGGCTGAACCAGCCACAGCAGCTGGGGCTGGGATGTGCCGGAGCTTGGGAAGGGGATTCAGCCTCAAGTAGGCAAGTTGCTGGGCTCCAAGCCATCTGAAGTAGAATTTGGGGGTACAGGGAGATTGGTGGAGGTAAGGGAGGTAGTGCCTGAGTGAGAACAAGGGCTTTCCTTGGCCTTGAGACTGGGAAATGTTGCTGTCTGCCCACCCAGTACCCTGAGGTCACAGCCAGCACTTAGAAACTGCTTGTGCCAAAAAAGCACTGACTTCTTAGTTGTGTTCACAAGGTAACTAAGAGCAGGATGAAAACCAGGCATCTCTGCCTTCATTTTGTGTCTGTCCCCTTTATTTTAGGTCAGACTCCTGCTTGATTTTGTGTACAGGCATGATAATCACTCAAGGAGTATCTGTCTAACTGACCCCTCTGAAAGGCTTGAAATCACAGAGATAAGAGTAACTTATCAGTTTTCACAGCTTTTACAATGCCAGACCCTTAAAAGGTGCCTGAAGGTCTCCAATCGTTGTTCTAAACCTCATTCACCTTGTGTTCCTGAAACAGCACTGGTTTGCGGCCTCCCAGGGCAGGCAACTGCTCCCCAGGTGAGAGCAATTATCCATGATGAGAAAACTCCCTGGCGCAGGAAAATCATCTGGAAACCAAACTGTTCCCCTCAGTGGTCACAGAGGCAACTTCTTTCGGCAATCTTGCAGAATCACACCCAAGATAACAATCAATTAGACCACATCTTGACCATGACTGCTCCAAGTCTGCATACCTCTGCCTCCTACACCAATTTTCCCCCTGAAATCTAAAGTTGATGGTAGTGCTTTTAAGAGAGATTTAGGAGAAATGGACCTCTCTATCTGTTCATCTTCCTAATGTGTCAGTTGAGTAAATCTCTTTTCTCTGCCTTTTGCCATTACTTGCCTCTTTAATTGATGTATTGGGGACAGGTGGCTGAGCCTAGCTTGTTGGGACTCCTGGAGCCAGACCCGAGGCTTTTCCCCCCAAACTCCAGTAACACCTTACTTCTGGCCCTCCAGGCACAACCAGGCTTCTCCAAAGGGCAGGACAGGGCTGCCATTTGGCCTTCTGCTTAGGAGAAGGCAGGATTGGGGGACAGGCAAATGACAGGAGCCACTCCTACTCACTCAAGACTGTTCTGGTAGTAAGACAACTGAGAAAAGAATGCAGGGTAAGACATATGGCTCCACAGTTACTTACAAGTTCCTCCTCACTGCTGGGAGTTTTTACAGGCATCCTATATGGGACCTTTTCCAGGATGGGCATCTTGGTAGTTCTTGCTCTAGAGTAGCAGAGGTGTAGACCTGGGAACAGAGAAGGGAAAGTACCACATATGAGTCATTTAGGCCTTAATGAACCCCTCACCTTCCACACGCTTACCCCCAAACCATGAGGAGACCACAGCCTAGAATCAGTGTATAGGGGACTCATTGCAGATGTGACTGCCATATCAGACCTCAGATCTGTGCCCCTGACCACAGTGATCTCTCTGAGTCTCCAGGTGGAAGACAATGGGTCCACCAGTAGGACTTGCTTGCATGAGACTGTTGCAACTCAAGGCTAAATGACCACATCAGGGAAGCCCTAGAAGGTACAGGGCTGGGCTTGCCCATTCCATGTCCACCAGGGTCAGAACACTGGCTTTGGTCTTGCCTGGGACTCAGCTGATCTGCACTATGCTGACTAAAATTTGTTTTTTCCACTAGATTGTGGGCTTCTCAAAGGCAAGAACATAACTGCTGGGCTCAGATTTTTTTTTTTTAATATCTAGGATGCGTGGCTGGGCCTAGCGTGTAAGCTGAGGAAGAGAGAGAGAGAGAGAGAGAGAGAGAGAGAGAGAGAGAGAGAGGTAGCGTGTGAGGAGAGAGAGAGAGAGAGAGAGAGAGAGAGAGAGAGAGAGAGAGAGAGAGAGAGAGAGAGAAAGTATACCATATGAGTGGCCTCAAACCTTCCTAGGCCCTATACCCTGAGTGACACTTGGATGCTGGGGAATCTAGACTATGTGTAGGGATGGATGGTGACTTTGGTAGTCTCCAGGCAACAAGTTCCAAGGGTAGGTACTACGGGAATGTGGAAGGACACAAGGCAGGAGAATAGATGGCCAGGGTCCCTAGAGCTTCCTGGCAGGCTGGGAAAAACCAGCTTTATTTGGAAGGTGCCATAGAAGAAAACTAGGACAAGAAGGGCTCTGCCAGTTTTTAGGGTTGTGGGTTACAGCCTGCCCCACTAGACCTAAACCCGCATAGGCACACAGTCAGAATTTCCACCAACTCAACCTCCATTCTTTACCAAGAGTCTAAAACTGATATTTAGCTTGTTTGACCACAACTAGCAGCAGCCCCACTCAGAGGCAAATATGGCCCAGGTATTGGCACAGGCTCAGTTCACACTAGGTTGGGACCATTCAGAAAGGTGGATGAACCAGACCTAAGGAGACTGCCTGGCCTCATGGAGCAGAGAAAGGAAAGTCCTTGCAGGCAGGACCAGTGCACTCCAACACAATGGTCCCTGGGCCCAAATGTGCCTAGAAATTGCAGTGTGAAGGTGGGGGTGTTCAGTTGATTAATTAATTGGGGTGGCTACCAGGGCAAGGTCAAGTTGATAAAGGCCCTATAGATGATGCAGTGGACACTTCCTCTTATGCCATCGCAGTGGTAGAAAATGTAAAACACTGGTCAGACCCCAGAGACCTCACATCTTGGAGAGGAGCTTAGGCCTCTGCCAGATGACTTCCCGTGGGCCCCTCCCCTCTCCCTCCACCCTCACCCCAGTGACTTCCTCCTTAGCTCCTGGGTTCAGGCCTAGAGGGCTTATGTGTATGTATTTGGGTGCCCTTCCATCCTTGCTTCTGCTGGCCTGGCTTGTGAGGGTTCCCAGAAGTGTCTGTGCTCTGTCCTGAAGGCCCAACACTAGTCTGGGCTCGCATCCCAGCCTCTCTTTGCTGCTACCTCTGCAGATCAACCACCTGCCGCTGGGCTCTCCTCATCTTACTCAGAAGGTCTGCAGAAAGCTGGGTGCTTGCCCCAGCGGTGAGACCAAGGGCCCCTGATAACTAGGAACAGAAGGCACAGATCTTGGCGCTTGGCAGATGCTCCGTGAAGTGAAAATAGCATAGGTGCGTGGGTAAAGGTCAAGGGAGTCCCAGAGCCCTAGGGATCAAGCCTCTCCCAGTCTAGGCATAAATCCCGTAGTTTCTTGGATGTACCCCGACGACCATTGCTGCCTGGGACGCGATGGACCCTGAGAGTCCTGGGTCCTCTCCGCCTGGGAGATGTTCCTTTGTGGACAGCTCCTCCGGAGGGACCGCGCCCGCCCGGGTCCACAGCGCTCCGGGGCTCAGCTCCGGGCTCAGCCCTGCGCGCCCAGCGCGGCCCGCCCAGCCCTTCTCACCTGCACTCCAGGGCTCTTCTGCGTCGGCCAGGAGCACCAAGCAGGACTAGGGGCAGCAGTGTGAGCCCGCACGGGGGTGGGGGCCGAGTAGGGATTGGGGCTGCAGCCTAGATCCGTAGTAGAGTCTCCGACGTCGCCGGATTCCTGCGGCCACCAGACTGGCTGCAAGCAAACCAGCCGCACCTCCTTGGACTCCCTCCCCTTCTTCCTCCCTCCCTCGCTCTCTTTTTCTCCCTCCCCTTTACCCTCCCCTTGTCTCTTCCTCACGGTACTCTGCTTCCCCATACCCCTGCCCCGCCCCTCGATTCCCACCTCCTGTCCTCCGAACCTGTCCCGGACGGTCTTCCCAGACGAGTTCGTGGACTGGCAGCGGAATTTAGGCCCTGGAGAGGCCAGAGAACGGTGTCCTGTTCATGCCGATGGCCCCGCCCCAGCGTTCCCCAGTTCCCCGGTTTCTCCCATCTTCATTATCCCCTCTGCAGTGACATATGCAGAATCCTGGGAAGTGTTTGGACAGAAGAAATTACAGCCCTCCTCACCAGCTAGACCAGGCTGGAACCTTACTGCACCTCTTTAAAAATGTTGATAATTAATGAGTTGGTTGGCTATGTGGGACTTCCCCTCCTTTCCTTTGCCATCCCATTCCAGCAGGCTTTGGAAGAGGAGGTAGTGAAGGAACACAGACTTGATCCACACAGACTTGATCTACTCTGATGACAGATAGGGGTTGCTAGACACTCCTCCCAGACAAAGTGCCCCTCCTATATAGATGCCTCTCCAGAGTGAACAGAGAGGGGTCCACAAAGACAGACATGCCTCAGATACACAAACAAGACTCACAGTCACAATCACAATCTCACACACACACACACACACACACACACACACACACAGAGAGAGAGAGAGAGAGAGAGAGAGAGAGAGAGAGAGAGAGAGGACAGATACCCTCCACACATAGATGACCCTAACTCAACTGCCCCTCCACCCTGAGATCAGAGGGCTCTGTGAACAGGAAGCAGGTTCTGGGACTGAGTGTATAGCCTACACTGCCTAGGGCTCCCACAAGGGGAGACAAGAATGGGAAACTTCCCTGACAGACCGAAGTGGCCACTTCCATTCAGGACAGGGTGGGCTGAGTGAGGGATGGCACCAGCTCCCATATTCACATCCAGCTGCATTCTTTCCTTTCTCCCTCTTGGGGAAAAGGCAGGTCCACAGCGAGCTGTTCTCCCACTCCTCAGGGGATAGAACCTAGCTCCTTAAGGAACTCTGTGGCCAGGTTGAAGCCCTGAAGGATGGGGGGGCAATTTTTCTTTCTATTCAAGAAACAACGCTGCTTCTTTCTTGGGGTTGGGGCAGGATGGGGTGAGATGCCAGTGGGAAGGGAAGCCCAATCCAGGCTTCTGAGAACTCTGTGGTGCTGGGTGTGTCCTCGAAGGGCAGGTAGATTTGCACAGCCAGAATGGATCCTCAGGCTCCCTCGAATGGAGACTCAGGGAGCTGCGCTGGGCTTGAAAAGGAGGGACTATCTCAGTCCAGGTTGGATATGTGTGGTGGTGGGGGAAGCATGAGTTCTAGGTATCTATGGGTGAGAGCCCTCTTTGAGTTGGTTTATTTCTTATCCCTTTGTCAAGCAATAAAGGAATCTGTTGGCTCTCACTCCTCTGCCAGCCTCAGGCTTGGGCTGAGCCTGTGAGACCCAGGCCAGCCTTCCCTCTGTTCAGGTTCTATACCATACCACCCCTCACCAGTAAAGAGACTTGGCCTCTTCAGACAGATATGGTTTATTAATTCAGGCCAGAGGCACCGCGGTGCAGCACGCCAAGTTTGGCACTGGAAAGATCCAAGGAAGGACAAACAGATGCATGGCTCTACTTCGGGGAGCTCCGAGGTGAGGTGAGGACCGCACACCTCTTCACATTCGCAGGAGCGCAATTCTTGTGTCCCCGTGCTCCATCCCCCCCTCCAATGGATACGGGGATGGGGGGATTGAGAAGGGTCACGGAGAAGGGATATCAGCAAGGGAATCAAGACTGGGGAAGGGCTGGGGTACTCGCTGGAGGAGGCGGGCCCTAAGCCCTAGTTGACCAGAAGGCTCTCAGAGCAGTCACCTGGACCCTAGAGGCGGGAGGGAGATGACCTGGAGGCGGAGCGGGGCTGCTAGCTGCAGGTATAGTAGTAATTGTCGTCCTCGAACCCACCGAAAGGGCCAGGCGGGCTGCAAGGCTCGCCGCCGTCGGTGCCCTGCACCGACCGCTCACGCAGGCGCACCGCATCATACAGACCCTGCGGCGGCTCATCAAGCAGCACATCGCGCTCAGAACGAGAGCGTGTAAGAAGGCCCACGTTACGCAGGAGCAGCAGAACTGGCGCGTAGAGCAGGTTGGCCAGGCCCATGCCAAGGCTGAGCTGCTCAAAGCCAAGTGAGTGCACGATATGGCCTGCCACTATGGGCCCGAGCGCGTAGGCCACGGAATAGGAGATGTCAGCTATGGCATAGACGCTGCCATAGACGGATACGTGGCGCACGTCCACCAGGAAGGCGAGCGTGGGCAGCAGAGCCGTGTCCACTAACGCAATGCCAAAGCAGAGGCCGCAGAGCGAGACCACTAGCGGCGCGAAGGAGCGGCACGCAGGCACAATACAGGAGCTCGCCCCTATCACCGCTAGACCGACGGCGCCGTACAGCCACTGCAGGTGTGGATAACGTGCCGCGAGGCGCACGGTGAGATAGACGCCTAGCACGTGCGGCACGAAAGCTGGCAGCCAGACCATGCCCATCTCCCACTCGGATGCGGCCATCGTGTGCTTCATCCACGTGGCAATGGTGGGCTCGAGGAACGCAAGGGGAATATTACAGGTCGTGAGCGCGCCTGCTACCACTGCTATGTAAGGGTCCAGCATGAGGCGATGGATAGGCGTACCCACAGGAAGGTTGGCCCGCGCCCGTGCTGCGGCCGAGAAGGGCTTGGCCACCGCCAGCAGAAGTAGAGCGTCAAAGAGTGAAACAGCAGCAAGCACTAGAAAGGGCACGCGCTTGCCAGCGAACTCATAGAGGATGCCCCCAAAGGGCGGTGCCACTAGGCTTCCAAAGCTGATGAAGGCCAGCGCCACGCCCAGGGCACGGCTGCGCTCTGGCTCCTCCGGATACTTGTCTGCGATCATGGCGATGCCAGACGTGTCCGCGAAGGCTGAGCCTAGGCCTTGCAGACTGCGTGCAGCGAAGAGCGTAGCATAGTCCTCTGCAAAGGCAAACATCACTGTAGAAGCGAACATGACGCCCAGGCCAATAAGCAGTGGGACGTCGTAGCTCATGCGATCAATGAAAGGCCCACTCAAGGGGTTCACCAGCAGCTGCAGGATGGCTTTGGAGGCAAATAACACCCCTATCTTCACATCTTCACTTTCTGTGGGGTAGCGAGGTCGCAGGATCGACCGGGCAGACCCGGCAGCCGTCGGGGACACCGAGGTGTTGGCCCAGTAGGCGCTGCTGTTAGCCAGAGTGGGCGGCGGCAGGGTGGGTTCCCACACCTCGGAGGCCAGGGTTGGGCCCTCGCTGCCCCCGCGCATGTGGGCGATGTAGTCGGGCACGATGGGCACGATGACCATGTACAACATGTTGTCCAGTAACAGTGCCACGCACACGATGACCAGCACCAGACGCCGCTGCCTCTGGGGCTCTTGCAGCGCCGCGCCCACGGCTTGAGACAGCTTGGTGGCGGCCGCCCGAGCCTGGTCCGTGGGCGCTGAGGGCTCCATGTCCCACCCGGCTGCTCTTCCGAGGACGCCTCTGCTGGAGTCCGGTTCCGGCGTCCCGCAGTGCAGAGGCTAAGGTGCAGGACTTCGGGGGCGCGGTCTTAGCCGCGCGGCGCCCCCTGTGCGCTTCAGGTGGTTGTGGGGCTCATGTCCCTGAGCTCAGAGAGAAAAGCAAGGAGCTCCTAGCTGCTCCCGGGACCAGTTGCCATTGAGCTCAGGTGCAGCCGTGGAGGCCAGCAAGCGGAGGAGCTACGGCCGGAGACTGGACGCACTGTGCCGGGGGAGCGCCAGGAACAGCCCCTGCGGAGCAGAGAGGCGGGGTGCGCCGGCCGAGGGGCATGCTGCCGCGCCCGCAGTCTCTTCAGCCCCACCGCCTCGCTTCCCTCCACGCGCCTCGGCTCCTGCCTCCTCCTCCGCCGCCGCCACCGCCTCTTTTTTTCCCTTCCACTTGGGGCTATGACGCGGTGAATCTCGGCCCCCGAGTGGTGCCCCGGCCACTGGCGTCGCTCATGCTAATGCGACGTCGGCGGGGCGGGGGCCGGGGGCGGGGCGCGGTCGGGCAGGGGGCCTCTTCCCCGATGCTCCAGGGATGCAAACCCCTGGAAGGGGGCTCCGCCAGCAAGAGTCCCAGACAAGCCCCTAGGGATGGGGGCGGCGTGGGGGGCAGATGCTCCAGGGATGCAAGCCCCTGGAAGGGGTCTCAGCCAGCAAGAGTCCTAGACAAGCCCCTAGGGATGGGTGCGCCGTGGGAGGAAGTCACTCTCTGTCGCCCACCCCTGGGACCTGCGGGGTGAACTCCTCTTCTCCCCTTGAGAAGAGGGGCGCGGCAGTCGGTTCCCGGCGGCCCAGCAGGAGATCCGGCATCGGGGGGCTCTAGACCTCCTCCTCACCTTGGACCTCGGCGCACAACCGGCACAGAGCCCCCGAGGTGAGCCGCGCCGCGTCCATCTGTTACAGCAGCTGGAACCCCGGGGTCTGGGACCCCGGGGCGCAACACACAGCCCCCACCTCCTTCCCCTGCCCCGCCTCTTGGCCCCTCTCATCCCCTCCCCTGGAAGGGAGGGGTAGGCTCAGAGACTTCAGGGTCTGGTTCCAACCCACCTGCCTTTCTGCAGAATGTTGTGGCAGTCAATTCCCCCGAGCATATGAGGACTAAGGGGGGAACTCGTCCCTTCCACCCAGAGTCCTGAATGTCCCCGCAGCCCCCTTTAACCTCTCCCTGCCTAGACTCCCTTTCTGCTTTGTAGGTGCGGGTCTCCCGGATCTGCCTCTTTTCCCTTCCTTCCCCTTCACCCTTTCTCCATTCTAATCCTTCCCAGGCCCTCTTCTCCCTAGACCTCCCTTGGTTCCTGTGAGCCTCCACCCACTTTTCTCCCTCACCCCCCAGAGCCTCCTGCATGCCCTGGATGGACTCACTAGCTAGTGCTATGGCATGGGTCCTCTCTCAGAGCTATTTGTAAGAAGCCCCTCCTGGTTCTAACGCAGCGGCCCCTACAGTTTGGCATCAGTTGAGGCCTGGGAAAGCTCACCTTCCATCCAGGAGGGCTGCATCACCAGCGACTCTTGGTTCTCAGCTCTTAGGCTGAGCAGCCCAGGCTGTGGGCTGGGCCTAACGCTCCCCAGAAGAGCTTTGACCCTAAATGGCACCTGAAGCCTCTACTCCAGTTCTCCCGCTGGCAGGAGAGAGGATACCAATGAGCAGAGATTGAGGGGACTGATGTTGATATTGCCTTTTGTCTCTCTTCCGGAGTCACAGAAGCCTTCAAGTCCTTCCCGACTTAAAGACAAACTAGCACTGGATCCACTGTCTCCTACAGTGCTTTCCACCCAGAAGGAGGCATCTTGATACCTTGGGCTCTGGAGGCAGAGACACAGGATGCCTCTCAGCTCTGCCACTTACTAAATGAAGGTATCCAGAGGGGAATAACACATACCCCGAGTCGCTTTATTTATTTATAAAATGGGATAGGGGTACCTACTGCTGAGGGTGCCTGTGCGTATCTAAGGAGAGCAACATAGTACTTGCTATTGTTATAATGTTCTGTCTTGTGCTCATGTCACAACGGAGAGCCTTCTGAAGAGCAGATAGACTGGAGCATCCTGACTATCTGGCTTGTCCCTCAGATTAGTTAAGCATTGTGAACACAGGCTCTGTCTGGGCTGGTGGAAGGTACTGGAAAGTTGGCTTCTCTCTCTAAACTGGCTGTGGGATGAGGTGATGGAGACTAGAGTGTCAGGGTGAGAGGCAGCAGCCTTGGGGGAGTGTTCCCAGCCTCCCCACCCACACAGGTATCCAGGAAAGGAGAACTGCATCATTTTAAGGTGCTGTAAGCTCATTTTCTACAGTAGCCCAACTGCCCTCTGAATGAGGGACGGTGCCTGAATCAGTGAACAGCCCCAGCTGTGGGTGACTTTGAGCAAGTCACAGTCCCTTCCTTGCCTACTTGGCCTCTGTTCATTAAGAGGTCACAGAAATGTACACTGCAGGTGTGGGAAAACTAGTTTAAATATTATCCCACAGCCTTCATTCAGTGTGTTCTGGCTCTAGCTGCTAGTTTCCCCTCAGTTTGCTTCACACATTTATATGTCACCTGTCTGGCTTTCCAGTCACTTGAGTTAAAGACGTCTGGGTTCTGATTCTTCTACAAAAGCCTCATAGCTTTAAAAGATGCATTCTTCTAGCCTGCATGGTAATGATTATTTATTTATATATTGTCGCTGTCTCTAAATAAAAATCAGGAGACTGAAAAGGATTTGAGGCAGAAGTTTTCTGTCCACTGGTTGATGAACAGTGGAATCTTTCAGAAGAGAAACTTCTCAGTGTCATCAAGTTGCAGATCCCTCCTCCCATCTCTCTAGCAAACACATTAATTCATAAGTACTCCAGAGCATGAAGCCAACTCATCTTTGGGCTTATACCTGACTGTTTTCCACACTCACTTCACAAACACTTGTTTCAAGCCAGGGGTGCTGTGTGTGCTCCTACTTCACCCCCCCCCCAATCCTGGTACAGTGTGGATGCTATTTCCCATCTGGCTGGATAGGAAGCTGGGTCACTTATCTGAGATTCCAGCCTGTGTGACTTGCCTCATGGTCCTCATGTTTCCTCCTTATTTCTTGTGTTTCATTTTGTCTCTGATGCTCTATCTGCAAGATGGCATACCCTGGCAGTGTAAGGGTGAGGGGCAGATAAAGACAGGGAGGAGGAAGCTCTCTTGGGGTCTTTAAATGCTATTCCTCAGTCCCAAATAAGAAGGCAACACCCTTTCCATCATTAGCCCCAAGGACTGAGGTACAGGGGCTCACAGGTAGGGGGAGACCCTCTTCAGCAAAAGCTCCCCCTCCTGAGTCAAGACAGAACTTTTCTTCCAGACCTAGAGGACTGATGGAGCTGTCCAGGGTGCTGGCCACCCATGCTGCCTGACAGCTGGCTTCCAAGGGCCCCACCCTGGCTGCAATTTTTGCACCTGTGGCTTCTTCCTCACTTGCGTACTTGTCAAAACTCTTATCCTGAGACTTCTTTATTTGAGCATAACTTATAGGCAAGAGGAAATTTCCTATCCAGTTCTGGAGGAGAAAATTAGAAGCATTTTTTCCTCTTCTCAACTGCATATAGAAATCGTTACTGTAGGGTACATATGTGATGCTTAATTTAAGTTAATGAGTAAAGGAAGGAAGTTATACAAATACTTAGAATGTTCCAGGCACTGTTCTAAGCATGTACCAACTCAATCATCTCACCAATATTCATAGCACCTTTGTATAGTCAAAGACACTGAGGTGAAGGCATTCATCCAGTTAGATTTAGCTCTCATGCCCATCTCCCAATCACAATTGCTGTCCTGGGTAACAGGAATGGATAGCATGAGAAATTCACCAGTCTCTTTCCCAGTGTTTGATACCCAATAGGAACTTCATTATTACTTTGAATGGCTTCATAAAGCCTGGCGATTTTTGAATGACAACTTTTCTTTCCACTTTATTCAGTGGACACAACTTTCACCTTAGTTAATAGAACAAAATCTGTCTGTGCTAGACCAGTAATGAGGGGAGCTGAATAGAGACTGGGGGAGTACTGGTGTGGGAGAGTCTGGGGAGAGGGTGGAAAGAGAGCCATCCTGTACCAGTGCCTCTGTGAAGTCATGGGGTTGTGGGTGCTGCTATGGAGGGAAGGATCAGCCTATCTGACTTCATTTCTGAGAAGATCAAGGGGCCACATCAGTTCCAGAGCTTTGCCATTTGTTGCTTCCTGGAGAAATTCGTGCCAGAGATGTGAAAGGCCTGTGTGTCTGTGGAGAAGCAGGTTGATGTGGTGGTAGCAGTGTGTGGGCGGGTGCCTACTCCTGATTTATTACTTCTTTGTCTCCCTGGAAGCACTTAAGAGCAGGCTTAGTTCCAATGAAGCTCATGAGCCTCTAGATGCCAGCAGTGGAAGTGGAAGTGGGGGTGGGGTAGAGTGTTCTCCAGCCTCACTACCCCCTCTGCTGTGGGCTGACTTGGGAGGACCTCAGGGCTTCAGCATTACTTAATTAATTTAGGCCTCTGCAGTCACATACTCTCAGATTCAAAGGAACAGAGTGGCCCTTGTCAGCCTTTCCCAGAAACCTATGAGTCTGGTGGCTGGAAGCCAGAGGACTATGTGTCTGCCCGACTGTCCTTGGCCAGCCCATCCTGAGGGCCCAGACCTGTACAATATAGTGAGCATAGTGAGGCAAAAAGATGGTAGCTTTTACCCTGTGAGTGGCCCTGAGTGCCCCTCTTCACCTCCCAGCAAAGGGACCCAGCCTATCTGTGGTCTATCTGACTTGTACATACTTCACATGCATTGCTGGTTAGAAACCAGGCCTCAAAAATCACTTTGGTTTTGGTTCCTATGTTTATTTTCTATTTCAGTCTGATGAATCCCTCAGGCTCATTCAGAGGCTTCCTCCTCTGAAACTTGCTGAAGCTCAGACTCTGCATCTTCCCCAAGTCTGGGGCATTCAGTATCTCCCAACTTGGTCCCTTCCCTCCTCACCTTGCCAATGCACCCCTGCGTTGACACCAAATTTATTTTCTCTGTCAAATTTTAGGCAAGTTCCCAGTTTGTTCATAACCCTCATGGGCCCTTATTGCCTGGGCCTGGAGCCCGACAGTCTCCCCTTTTGTGTTGGCCTTTCAGCCTTCCTGGCCCCTTACCTTCCCTAATTGACCCTAGGAGCTCATACCTACCCACTGGTGAACCCATAGGTTTGTTGTTGTTATTTTTGGCTTGGAATTCTCAAAATTCTCCTGCCTCTGCTTCCAAAGCTCTGGAATTTCAGGAGTATGCCTTCACAGGTGGCCTTGAACCAGGGTTCTTATGACTCCTGCCTGACTTTGGTTTTCCATGTTTCCTG